CAAGATTAGGCAAAAATACAGGAGCCACCTTCAGGCCCTCATGATTTCAGTTTTTGTTGTGTTTTTTTTGTGTGTGTTTCTCCTTTTTAAGCACTTGTGCACTGTGACATTTGGATACAGGTATTCATTGAGGTATCTGAAGTGTATGAAAATATGAGGTTAAAAAGTCATTTTAAAGATTTTGGGGTTTTTTGTGTGTATTTTTAATCCATATTTATGACAATATTTCAGTCTGTCAGAGAACTAACATTTACCTAAAGTGTAAAATGTCAGCACTAAATGTCAGGGAAAAGGTTTTTGTGTCTGACTGTAGCTCAGAATTTAAGAGCAAGACCTTCTTTCTTGTCTTAATATTTTACACTAACGTAGAACAGTCATAGAGGGGGGAAGGCCATGGCCGAGATACCGATTCCTCCACTGACCGCAATATTCTACTCACATTTTCCTGGCTGGAAAAACTTGTTCCTAATGCTAATCCCTATCACTCTCCTCATCAGTGTGTTTAACTCGGAAATGAATACATGCCGTGCTGTGGTTGTTGTTTAACCCCTTTCAAATCACAATTTCTTAAAAGAATTTGTCATTGGCATACCAAAATAAAAAAGCTTGTAACAGAAGAACTGTAAGGCCAGAATGCATGTGTGGACTTTGAGAAGCAGCATACTGTAGTGTGCTCATTTAGCATGCACATAAAACCTAACCTAGACTACATCAGCTCAGACATGAAGGGAAAATTACTGTTTTAGTTCTTGTGTAGCATTAGCATTAACAAGGTCATGCTCCATGTTACAACTATGAAAATCACCACATACCTTTTACATCATGTCATCTATATCTCTGTAAAAGTTTAGACCTGTGGACCAAACTTAATGGGAGCTGGTGAGTTTTTAGTTTCCGGCATCACTGGCATCCCCAAACCTTAAAGCTGGGGAAGGCAAGTTGAACATAAACAATGCAAAACCTTTCATCTCTCTTTTCACTTCTGCGTTCCACTTCACTAAGCCCCTCCCAAAAATGGCCCTTGAGGACTCCGTGGCTGCAGGGCAGAGCGCCCCAGGCTTCAGAGGCAGCGCCGACGCCATCTAACAGTAAAAAAAGGGGGGGGGACGGGGGGATTTCTCTGGGAGCGGGGCACCATATTATTGAACTAGTCTACTTGCCAGAAACATAAACCCAGAAATGTTAAGTAAAGTAAACCAAAGTTTTATATTAGAAATGTAAAGTATCGGTTTTCCAGCATATAGAAAGTGTCAGGGGCTAACCAGCATATATTGGACAATTAGCATAATTCCCAAAAATTAGCATAATCACAATGGACAATATTTCAGCAACTGCTTGGCCTATTTGGATGATATTGGAGTGGCTTGGGGGGTTATTAAGGATGCTGAATCCATATCTGACATTTTCAAAATACAAAAAGCCAGCAAAAGTCACACACACATGCGCCACTACCCCCTCAAAAATTATTCCCAATTATTTGTCACCATGCCCTTTTTGCCACCTGTGAATAAGACCGTCATGACATATAACATAATGAGCCCGAAGCTCTGTGTGGAGCCTGGACGTGTTCACACGTGTTTTGTACTATACACCGTCGGGCAATGGAGGTTTCGAAATGTATTACAAGTTGTGGAATTTTGTGCAGGATTTTCCACCTTTTGAATCAGGTTTTCACCATCTGAGGAAATCTGCATCTTTAAAACAGCCAATAGGAACACCTTCTCCCTGAAATGATCTGTGATTGGCAAAAGTCTCCCGTTGCAGGATAGATTTTCTAAAGCAGGAAGACGGAGCCAACAGGAGATGCAAAGGTTTTCTCTCAGACTGTTTGAATTACAATATGCTAAGTTATTGTGGCATTTTTGTTCAATGATGCCAGGAAAACAGCTGCCTACCCCAGCTTTAACCTGAGCCAGAGCACCGCCAGTCCGGTGGATTTAAACAGGTTTAAATCATTCTGGCAAATGATAGACTGAAATAGTGGTAGCAGTCGATAAGGCAGGTTGAGGGCAGTGTGTAGACAATGACAAGGGTAAATTATAAAATTTTATCAGTAACTCCTCAAATACTTTGAACTTGAGTGAAACTGTAGTGTAATTGTAGATTCTGAAGGCTCCACTGTGTGTGCGTCTGTGCGCGTGTGTGTTAATGTTGTTGTTTCCATTCGCAGGCGTCCTCTGGACTATTACACCATGGAGCTGAGTGAACACGCAGAGGGACTCTCAGATCTATAATCTAGGTTTTGCATCGCTGTGCTTGCATCTGGAAGTGCTCATGTGTGTTGGAGGACTTCAGCAGAGAGAGTGAGACGGGGGTAATCAGAGGTTAATTTGACCTGTGCGTTACTGATTGCGCGGTTGTTTTGAAACAAATGCCACCACAAGTGTCCTTCTCTGTGTCTGTGGGAGATCACTGATGAAATGACTCGTAGCTGTCAGTGTGTGCTTGCATCCAGTGTGTGATGTGTGATATTTCATGGCAGCAGTGACACTTAAGACATAAGGCAACCCATGAGTTGAATTTAAAAACATAAAGATAATAACATATTTTTGTAAAGGTCAGTGTATAACCTTTGCCTGTGAACAGTGCTGGTTACTACTTTTAAAGGAAAAGGAAGATAAAAGGGAGTTGTTGTTTTTTTAAATACTTGAGTCCTAAATGGTCATTTTTGTTGACTTGTTCATGTTACTGTGGAAAAAGCCTCTAAGTGTAGAAATTTAAACAACCATGCTTTTGATTTATGCAGGAAGCTCTGTCAATGTAATGACCTTTCCTTCATCACATTCTCAGCTGGTACTACGGTGTTTTAACAGCAGACTTTATAACCAAGATAATATTTGTTAAGCTCACATTTATTCAGACTGGTCGACTTCCTGCCCTGTTTTCCTGCTACATGCTGTAATAGTCCATTTTAGACTCTTGTCACTCAAGGGCTTGATTGTGTTTTTAAATGTGAATGTCTTCAGCTAACTTGTGATGAGTGTCTGTAACCACTTCTGTATGCTTACTTAAAGCAAACTGTTTACATTTTATTGATTTGAAAATTAGAAAAAGGGATGTGAGAGATGGATGTTAAAGAAATTTCTTGAATGAAGAGTGTTTTTAGAAATGAGAGATTGCTTGGTGTTAAGAAAATCAGAGCTATTTTATGTTTCACATGTGTTTTAGTGGCTCAGAAACCTCTACTGTGCCTTTATTTGCGTGTTATTTGATCAGCTGATTCCTCATTTATTAGAGGCAAATGTCAGCCATCTCTGCTGCAGCCATAAGTGTAAATACTAAATACTCTGGATATGATGTTAGTATTCTCAGGGGGGGGGAGCAGTTATCGCCACTCTGAAATGATAAGTTATTGTGGAAATTGAAAAACAAGCTGGGGTCAGAGCAAAAGGTGAAATATTGGGATTGTTAGTTTGATTCCACCTTTGATTCCATCTTAATTTACAAGTAATCGTAAAATTGCCAATACAAAGTGCCATTAAGTAATTATAAGCTTGGATATGCTCTATTGATGTGCTGCTTACCTTGTAATGTTGCCTTACTCATCTGCTGTGATGCACAGGATTTCATTTAGTTTGCTTTATTTACCTTGGTGAGGACATTTTCTTCAGTTCTAATTGCTAAATATTGACATTTATTAATACACATCTGACAAGCAAATCTAAATATATAAAACCAGATTCTTTTTACAAGTTTATAGTTTTACAACTATAAAAAAGAGAAACTACACTAAAAATAATGTAAATTGAGGCCTTTTTTAGCTTTCAAAGTGACCCTTGAAATGTTATATAATGTTCAAAAAATGTCTTTTATTGTAAACTTCCTTATTTTTTAGGTTTTGTGTAAAATGGTACATGTAGAAAGTTTAAAACAAAAAGAAGGAGGCAATTGCACCCCAAGATTACACCCTAATAATATACATACCAATGTGTTGACTCTTGAATAAAATGTGCGATATGTTCTTCCTGACGAAGCTACACAACGCTGCAAATTGCTGAATGGAATTTGATGTTCTGCTCAAAGCACTTGTTTAACATACATTCAGCCCTATATACCATGTGTATAGCACACTGACAACAATCATAAGAAGTGGAAAATAATTATATGGCTGAACAAAGCTGAATATTACACATCAGGAGCAGAAGCATTCAAATCTAACACAACTGTAAGAGAAACAAGAGACTCATAAATATTTTTACTGGGCACTAAAAGTGTGTGTGCATGCAGCAAATATTCATGTCTACAGCAAAAGATGTCACAGGAAACATTGGGGGGGGGAGTTATATTATCTACATCCCCAGGTCATAATTTACAAGCTTTCTTTCCAGTGATTGCCTTCCAGTTTGTTTCCCCCTGTTTTCCTTCCAGTGTCATGCACATGTAGCGGGTTTCAAATAAAATACTTTCACAACTGTGCGATTAAGAGTCACTGCTGTTGTTCAACCTGTTGCTCAAGTTGTTGTGTCTCCTTGCTCTGTCATTACTCTCTGTTTGATATGTCCCATTTTCATCCCTGAGTAAGTTCTCAAATATCTAATTATTATCATTTCCAGCCAGTCACCCCCTCACTGTTCTCAGGCAGCAGATGTTCCTAGAGTCTACTTTTTTATGTGTTGGGTTGTGGTTGTGTGTAAATGGAGCAGGTACATTCACTACTGTCAATCACTTTATTTTGTGATCATTTTCATGCTATGCAGTACCTACATATATTTTATGTCTGAGATCTGTACTTATGTACTTCAATCAGCACAGAGAATCCTATATTTGTTCTTTACAATTTTCTAACCAGAAACACTATCTTTACTTATCACCCGCCTCCAGTTGTGCTTGTCTGTGCATTTGCAACCTAAAGGTCTTTGTGCTCTCCTTTGGCGAGCCTTAACACCAGTCATCATGTACTCTATCTCTCACTGCAGCTCTCATTTGTGGTTCAGCGCCAACTGCATAGTGGAGTAGCATTTTAAATAGAGAAGTTTTCTTCTCTCTGTTTTCACTGTTCAACCTGCTAACCACAACGAAGGAAGGCAAATTAGGCTGACAGGAAGGAGCTGCAACATGAAACAGTATCTCTAGCAGCAGACAGTAGTGACGGAGTCAAAGCACGGCAAAGTTTTTCTGATGTGTTTAATTTGCTCGCTAGTCTTCAACTAGGTTTCACTCCTATATACGCTTGACATCGTTCTACACCTGCTCTCTAGAATTATGGCATTACCATATAAAACATCTATCTGGGCAGCCTTTTACATCCTTTGACACCTACAGACAACTTCTACAAGCCCATGGTGAGTTACCTGAGTTTTGTGTACTGCACACTGCATTGCAATGTTTAAACTTCACAGCTACAAAAAAAAAATTTAAAACCGATTTCAGCCAGAGACTTTTAACTTTCCATCATGGCCTTGAGTCTGTATCAGCTCCAAGCCAATCTAATTTGGAATAAAATAAAGATCTTCAACAAACTTTCACTCACTTTGGGATAAGCTACAATATATTTCTGACATGTGCTGGCACTTCCTTATTAACATGTTTTATTTAATGTGCAACTGATCTGTCTGGCTTTTTTCTTCACACAGCGTGTTGCTGGCGTGCTTGAATCATGCAAATCATACTTCTACTTATGTTTTTGCTTTGCACTGATGATGATGATGATAATGAATTTTACAGACTTGTGTGGGCATTTGTCAGTTTAACGCAGTTGCAACTGTTTGGCACTCTCACCAACACATTTCTACAGCATCGGTTTTATGTTATTTAGACGTTTTGACCATTAAGGCTGACAGTAACCTTAACAGCGGAAGCAGGCGAGCTGTCTCGGTCTCAGGTCTGGGTTTTTGAATTCACTTCCTTTGAGAGAAGTTACGTGATCAGCAACAAACCACACAGGAAGGCATTCGCTATTTCCCGTTTGTCTCAGTGAAACCTCAAACATAATTCAAGTTTATGTTTGCAGTGCTCTCGCTGCAGTTTTGCAAATATGCTGTGATATGAAATCATACAAATAATACACCTTATTCATGTGCCACATCTCATACAATGTGCTTTGCAAAAGAATATATATGTGATATAAGATACAAAATATTCTATAGGTAAAGTCAAGCAGCATGCGTGTTTGTATTTTGTTTTAAACTAAAACTGAGTCTGTTCTAGAGTCTGTGTAAAGTAAATGCTATTTGCTTCAGGAACAGCTGATGTGAGAGTCAGCAGAACACAGTGACCTGTAACAAACTTTCTGACAGTGAAAGTGTATATTTTCATCAATAATGTTAATTAAGAAAAACAACGAGAAGCACACACATGTTTTTACTTATTTAACCTAATTAGACCTCTTATAACTGAGCGTGGGCAGACAGTGACGTCCTCTTCGCTTCCCAGTACAATTGTTAGGTGTGACAATTTACTACCTTATTTTTCTTATTGATTGAAGATTCACGATGTACATCCCACCCTGCTTCAACCTGAACAAATCCCTGATGAGCCAAATTAATGGAAAACACTTGAGCAGGGGTGCAAGACCTTTAAAGTTACAGTGAAACAAAATGCAATTAATGTCTTTTATTTAAGTGACAAGTGTGATTTGAATCAAATTGTTCAACTGTGATTGTGTTGTTCAAAAGTGGGAGATTACCTCCTTCACTTTAGTTGACCAGGAGGAGGATTAGATTAGACCTCAAGCACATGCCTGTTAAATGTAAATCAAGTGGCTGGAATCCAAACACACACCTAACATACAGCTATCGGTCAAGCATGGTTTTATATGACGGGCAGGGTTAGCTTGTCATCCCAAATAACGTTTGGTTGAATTAATTTGTAGCTTTTATGACATAACCAGCTCATTACAGCAAGTAAGATGAAAGCATGGATAAGAGATAAAAGGCCTGGCCGCGGTAAAGATCTTTATTTGATAGAAAAACACTTAGTTCTTTGTCAAATGACATGGTAAAAAAACAGTGGCATACTGTGAAGTGGGTTGCCTGTAGTGAAAAGACCCCCCCCAAAAAAAAAAAAAAACAGAATGAATATTCAACTCTAACACAACTCTAAAGGAATGATCATGTTTCTCCGTAACTGCTGGATGTGTAAACAGCTGTTTGCTAACAAAGTTTGGCATATAAGCTCTGAAGGTGATGATATGTAAATGTTTACAACTTGTTTCTGCAGCCTAAAAAAATATAGCAGGTTTGCTCAACATGATTAACATATCACATGCAGACGGGTAGCGGTGTTTTTGGCATGATCTATTCGGACAAAACCAATTCTCGCGTAATTTTATCAGAAATGTCAAAGTTGTTGGCCTAAGGTTATTTTGTGTCACTGACATCAGTTAATACATAATTCATACTAGGGCAGATGTCTCTATTTTTCTTGTTGTTGTCTCAGTTTGTCAAAGCACTATGACATTTGCAATGTATATTAAAATGCCTACATATGAATATGCTTGATGCTTTGAAAAAGCTAGAACTGCAGCACATTTAGCTAATGTAGCTGTATAATGCGTCACAAGAGCAGCTGTCATCTGCAGTAAATTAATATATATGTTCTCAGTGTATGCAGAAAGCAAAATATCCATCTGTTAATCCAAGCTGCCTCATTGAAAATCAAAATAGATATTAATAATATCAGTGAAAGCTTTAGAGCAAATTGTTCTGTACACTGCAGACATTGTCTGGTATGTTTCATATCCTTTTCAAAAGAAATACTGAACCAGAAATGCATGAGTTTATACACAATATAGTAAATTCACATTTGGAGCATTAAGTTTTTGGAAGATATTGAAGCCTCAGTCAATTTCTTCATCCCCCTTCATCACAGCCTCTCATTCCAAGTCTAAGGTAGTTGTGTACATAATGACGTTTTGTATTGTGTAGACACAAACTGGAACGTCTGAGGGCAGAAATGATCAAACTTTTTCATGGAGAAGAAAGCACATTATGATTCGATCATGGACCGAAGCAAGCGCATTATGTGGCAGGACGACTGCTACGTTGATCTTCAGTCTACGGCCTGCTCCGTCTTGTCACAGGCAGAAACAGAGGGTAAGAGTTTCTTCAACAGATTCATCATTTCTCACATGCACTTTAGAGTGGTTCATGTCAGAAGCTGCTTTCCTTCGTGTCCCAAATGTCTTCTACCCTTTCAATCTTTCTTTTACTTAATTTTGAGCAAACAAGCATAGTACCAGCTCCTGACAGACAGTAAGATGCGAGCAATCAGTTGTATGCAATTGATCTATATAAGTAATAAAGATGGTTATAACTGCATCATTAAAGGGAATGTACATGAAGTAAAAAAGACATGTACTGTACTTTCATTTACAACAGAGCAAATATTGTTCTCCAGTTCCATTATACTGAAGATCAATCTTCAGTTATGATTTACTACTTTGACATTATCAGCCATATCTCCCACACCGTGCTGTATTCTTCCTGCATTTTGGTCTTATTATGAATGTTAAGCTACAGAGGTGAGATTAAATCCTTAGAAGCTGTGATCAATGAAATGAGATGAAAGGATAATCTATCCTTTGGGGGCTGAAGTTTGTAATTAAAGTCTTCCAAATGAAGGGGGGAAAGTTATGACAACCAAACAAGGGTTTTACCAGTTTAAACGTTCATAATAAGATACTGTTGAAGGAGACCAGTGGTTTCAACATTGTCTTTTTTTTCTTTTCAATTGAAGACTTTTACTTTTTTTCTATCATCAAGAGGAAGACAGCTTTTATGTGGCAATGTTTGGTGACACTGAGCATGATGGGGAGTTAAGACCAATGGGTGAAGCAGAAAATTTGTGGCGAAAAAAAGGACCAATTTGCTCAGACAAATGACATAAAACTGAAATAGGAGGGGTAGTTAGGACTTCACAATTATAAAATAAAACAGGAGACTGATGTCAACTTTTTCAAAGACCTAATTGGTTGGAATGAATTAAATATGAAGATTTGTATTCATCTAGATATGGGAATTTTTAACATGTTCTAAGAGGATTAAATTAGCGCTGTGTTCATGCTCTGTTTCAGGTTTCCTGCACACTGAATCATTTTCTTCTCTCTTAAAAGGAAATGGACTGTACACAATTATATTTTTAGGGTAAACATGACAAAGGCAGCCCTTACATACAACAAGGGTGTATATAGAGAAATATAGGGTGGCCAGAGGGTGGCATGGAGGTTTTAAGGGGTTAATCAATATTTGCTTGGAAAAGCACTTTTTTAACTCAAAAACAACACATAAGTGTGGCAAATTAGTAAAGCATTGAATAGAAATACCTAAAGTTGGCATTAGAAATCAATAAATTGTTTTATTTCCAAATCTTCATAATTTTTTTCAAATACATGTCTTTTTTCATTGAGCAAAGTCTATCATTTAGTCTAAAATGTATCCATTACACATTTCACATACATTTCCACTATTTAACATGTTTTTTTATTATTATTATTAATCTAAATTATTGTGTTCAATTTGACAACTTTTCTGACACCAAACGGGGTGGCCAGACATTTTTTAGGGGCGGAAGTGGCCACCCCATCTAGATCCGCCACTAACGCACAGAGCGTGCTATACATTTAATGAGTGAAGCTATTGTTTGTGACTGTCGCCTAGTTACTATTAATCAAACATGGCACACTGTTCACCACGTCCGCTAACCAGTTTCCTGGGGGAAACCCTGATACTGATCAGGAAGCTTTCAGGTGTTGAAAACTACTTTGATCTTTCTCAAGAATTAGGAGCCAGATGCCAGAGCTGCTCATAATGCTCTTTTTGAAACACTTAATTGGACATTTGTCAGATTGCATGCCAAGGAATGATTTTTTATTTACTCAAAGAGGATGAAGAGTCTTCACTTTGGAGATTTTAAGGCTTTTGGTGTCACCTTAGACAAAACAAATGCTCCTGATACTAACTTTTCAGGTTTGTATAGCTTTAAATTTAATATGTGTTTCTGGTAGCTTATAAGTGAAGCAAATAGATGAACAGTCAATATTTACAGAAATGTTTCTATTCTCTCCTAGTTTTGCTGAAAACATCTTACTTCAGATGTGTTTAAACATCTGCTGGGTGGATTATTGAAGGCAAATTAAAAATAGTGTGCTCTGAAATTGTGATGGCTAAAATTGTGTTAAGTGGAGTGATGTAAGGCTGGGTGTGGGCACTTAGGTTATGTATTTTTTGGGTAATCATGTCATCATATGTTTCACAAGCACTGATGATAATTGCAGATTATAGTAATTGCTACAGAAAGCTTAAAACAAGCTGGACATGATTGTGTGTCATTACTGTGCCGGGTGTTAAATTTAGGTCTCTACTAGTGATTAAATTGGCTTGTGGAGTTTGGAAAAAAAGACTGTGGGAAAATCCTGAACTATCTATGTTTTGTTTAATATATCTAATTGACTGTTGTGCTGTATGTTACGTTTTTGCCTGTAATTACCTCAATCCAGGGTAAAATGGATTAAAGCATTCAAAGGCAATTCCTTATAGGAAACAATAAAGGGCTCACAAAAATTATTATTATCCAAAAAACACCAACATTATTGCATAAAACAATACAGTGGTGGACTTTGGGTGCATGGTGCTGCCATGTGAGAAAAAAACCCAGCAAAAGTGCCCTCTTGGACGCCTCCTCTGTGGTTATTCCTGAGCTTTCTTCTCCTGTGAGATAAAGAGAGTTGTATGCTGTACAGATTGTAAAGGCCCATGAGGCAAATTTGAGATTTGCGATATAGACACACCCACGGACATCTATAGAGCCTACTAACATGCTTACAAGGAAGAGTGAGAGGGGTTAGGAATGGTTTGTGTTTGTGTGGGAGGTGATCAACTTACAAATTACAAAATGAAGGGGATGACCCTAACCATAGACATGAAATTCATACGAAATATTAGGGAAGCAAAAGATAAATGAAAAAGAAGAACAGACTTTTCTTAAGAATTACATTTCTTGTGCAACATGATTACCCAACAGAAAATTATATTTGAATATTAAAGGTTACGTTAAGGTTAAAGAAGCAGTGGGAAGCACAACAAAATACAACAGAATGTGTTTTATTGCAAAAATGATTGTCCTGTGGTGCACATAATGAGAATGGCTGGCATATATCCCTTAATAAATTGCCATCAGTACAGTACAGTTTCAGTGATAGATAGTGATCTGCTTGTACAGCCCCATGTTTTCCTTCCACCAGAAAGGGTTGTTCTAGCTAAAAAAATTGTCTTTGTTAATCATCACTTGATAATCTCATTAATCAGTCTTCCTTTTTTTTCTTCTTTTCCATTTGGTTTAGATCTTGGCTGGATCCAAAAGCATCAAGACCAGCTGCAGCGCTTCATTACAACCTCCTTTCTGGAGGGGATGTTGACCCACCTGAGAAAGGTCGAAGTCTTGAGTTCAGCTGAGGAGACCAAGATCAAGGGAGCAGGCCGGCTGCAGGACCAGGTTAACATGCTCACAACTATTGTCACTGGCAAAGACACTCAGGGGTCTGATGTTCTCCGGGGCTTCATAGAGAGCTCAGATTCTCAAGTGGCCCAGCTCATCATAAACCACGGTAAGGGGCTTAAAATGGGATTTTCTCTCTTTGTTGGTGATTCTTTTACAAGGTTCTGAAAAAATGCTAGCTCAGGTGGTAGAGATTACCCAGTAATAGCGGGGATCGTCATTTGATTACTGAATTACTCTTAACAGAATGTCAAAGTGCCATTGACAAAGATGTTGAGCCTCTAACAGCTCCTGATAAGCTGTTCAGTGTGTCATTGTATGAATGTGTGCCTGTAATGTTGCACATTGGAAAGCGACATTCTGAGGATGAAAGAGGTATACATTACCTGACAGTCTTCATATTACTCAAAATAACCTGAGCCACTTCCCTTTTCTGCAGATTCCATGGTGAAGGAGCACAAAGAGGTGCTGTTACGGCGATACGAGCAGTACAGAGACAGAGATTCGGTCAGCTGCCCCAAACTCAACATCTCCTCAAGAACCTTACTTCTGGTTGATGGACTTTCCGACCTCCAGCAAAAAGAACATGACTTAATGCAGGTGGGGGTGACTCGAGGAAGGAAAAGAAATCATCTCAGACAGCTGGGGTTGGCCAAACTCTTGGAGCCCCTAACCCGGGTCAGCTTACCTCCCAGAGTCTCCCTCACAGTCGGGGTGGCTGGTATTGGCAAGACAACCTGGGTCCGACACTTCATCAGACAGTGGAGCCAAGGGGTCATCTGCACAGATGTGAGCTTCGTCTTCCCTTTCACTTTTTCTGAGCTGAACTCATTAGAGAAACTTTCTGCTGAGAGGCTTGTGAAAATGGCTTTTCCCCATTTAACAGACCCCAATCTGATCCTGAGCAGCTCCTGTCGCACACTGCTCATACTTGACGGTTTGGATGAATTCCGCTGCACTTTAAATTTCTCAGATGCAGCTCCTTGCAACGACCCAAAGAAAGAAGTGTCCATTGATGACCTGGTTACTAACATCATCCGGGGGAATCTGCTCCCTGATGTAGCAGTGTGGGTGACTTCCAGGCCAAGAGTGGCCTCACTCATACCTGGAGGATTGGTTGACAGGGTGACTGAGATCCCAGGATTCAGCCCAAATGACATCCAGCTCTTCCTAAACCACCACTACTCTGAGAGGGATTTTGCCAGTAAAATATGGGCACACTTGGAGTCCTATAAGATCTTAATGGTGATGTGCTACATACCATGCATTTGCTGGATAGTAGCTGATACTCTGGTGTACATCATGCAGAGCGGAACACAAGAGAGTCTTCCAAGGACTTGTACTGAACTGTACACTCACTTTTGCTCCATGAAGGCAGAAGTAGGTGAGCCAAGAGGCCGGGAGCCTGTAAAGGTGGAGCAGCTCCATGGAAGCAATCGCAAACTGCTGGGGAATCTTGGACGACTGGCGTTTTATGGGCTCCTCAAACACAAGTACACCTTCAGTGAGCAGGACCTCAGGGCCTATGGAATAGATCTACTGCTAACTCAGTGCAGTCTTGGTGCTGGAGTTCTTGTTCGGGAGGAGTCGGTTATATACACAACATATCGGTTCACTCATTTGACACTGCAGGAGTTTCTAGCAGCTACTTTCTACCACGTCTCCTCCAAGCGGGCCATCTTTGACTTATTCTCAGAGAGCACTATGTCTTGGCCCAAGATTGGTTTCCAGAACCACTTTAGAAGTGCCTTTCAGCACTCGCAACAAGCTGAAGATGGTCACTTGGATATGTTTGTGCGCTTCCTGACGGGCCTGCTATCCTCAGTGGCACTGAAACCTCTTGCTGGGCTACTGGCACTCGGGAAAGATGATGGCAATCAGAAGGCATGGGCAGCAGGGTTCTTGCAGGGCCTCTTGGTCAGCGGGGGTGCTGTTGTGTCACTGCGTGCAGTCAACCTGGCTTATTGTTTACAGGAGCTGCAACATACAGAGCTGTTGCGGAGTGTAGAGGAAGATTTACAGATGGGAAGTCTAGCAGGGAAGTTAACTCGGGCTCACTGTGTTGTGCTGGGCTACCTCCTGCATGTGTCTCCAGAGTGCAGTGAACAGACCAACCTAACAGGCTCTCTGAACTACACAACAGTGAAATGTTTGCTCCCACAGTTGCTATACTGCAGCCATCTCAGGTCAGCTACCCAAAGCACTGTCTCCCAATAAACAAAAACTCAATTTGAAGGGTGCCACTTACAACTGATCTACTCTACAGGTTAGAGAATAATCACTTCAAAGATGATGTCATGGAATTGCTGGGAAGCCTCCTGAGCGCCAAAGACTGCCATATCCAGAAGATAAGGTGAGCTCACACTTACTTTTCAACTGCTTATTGAGGCAAAGCGTCATAAGAGCATTTTACAATTTAATAGTTCTGAACCACTGTATCAAATGAACTTGCCTGATTGCTCGCATAAATGGTGAAACTTTAATTATTACGAATTAGTGTCGGTCTTGTTGATTACAAGGGTTTAAGAGACACTTAGTGATTATAATATTGTCGTAGGGTTAGTGTGGTGATGATGAATGTGATTATCATTAAAATGTTGTACTATGTACTTGTACTATATGATTGTAACATATTTTATTCCCCCTCTCAGTTTGGCAGAGAATGACATCAGCAACAAAGGTGCTAAAGCCCTCAGTCGAGCCCTCTTGGTGAACCGGACGCTAACTTCTCTCAAGTGAGTTCTGCTTGTTGTCACTGATTGACTGATTACAACTAAACCCTTTGAGTCTATAAGAGGAAACTGGTGTGCTTGCTCTGCACTAAACTTAAGTAGCATGTTTTGCCTGAAGAAAAACAGCATTGTTTGACAAATAGAAAGAGCCAGAAAAAATGGGTTCTCCATAAGTCAAAAACAGGCCACATAACCCTTTATTTTTTAAATACTTTTATTAAGAATGAGGTCAGAAATGAAAGATGGATTTGAATGCATTCAGCAGTTGTGTGTACTGTAATACAAAATACATTACAACATATTCATTGCTGGCATTGGTTTATCACAATATCTGTGAATAATATTGTTAAATCCATGTCAGAGCAGATTATACTCTCATGTAAACCCGTGTGATTTTAAAGCTTTGCTTGCCTGCAGTTTATAGCTTATAGATTATTACTATTACCATTTTTCTGGTAAACAATTATTCAACATATATTGAACATGTTGATGCTCATTTCTATAAAATTACTTTTTTATGGTGTGTGTAGATTTATACCGAAGAATACAAACAAGTTCTAAAATTCCACTCACTTTTGGAAAAACATATAATATACTCTCAGATTTTGAGATATTACTTTGCAGTGAAGTGGTGTTCAATACATCTGTGGTCCTTGAATTTCATTACGAATTGCCATAATTGCTGCAGTTTCACAGGTACATACATTACTACCTGACATTTCCATTATTCTACAGTGCTGTGTATTATCTGACCATATGTTTATAATTTAGTCTCCGGAACAACAACATCGGCTCTAAAGGTGCCAAGTTCCTGGCAGAGGCTCTGAAAATGAACCAAGTGCTGGTATCTGTCAAGTGAGTATACACACAATGATTTTGCAAAATGCCAGTGTAACACTTAGACTTGGTGTAATTGGAATCTATTCCCCTAACCGCTCATCAGCTTTCAGAACAATGCCATTGAGGAGGAAGGTGCTCAGGCCCTTGCAGAAGTACTGCAGTGCAACCGCAAACTGGTGTCTCTCAAGTGAGTTGTGTTTGCCTTTTACCTGTGTTTATTGCATGTCCTTTGGATAGTATATGTGTGTGTTCATGCATATGATGTGGAGTAACCATTTTTTCTTCCCTGCATAATGATTCAGTCTACAGAAGAACACGATTGGAGCGGGAGGAGCTAAAAGGATTGCAGATGCACTGAAGACAAACCGGACTCTTACAAAGCTGATGTAATCTTAAATTAATACATTCATAATTTGCTGTATTCTTTCAGTCACTGTACTGATCGTGATCAATGTGTTGCACTGGTACACACATTTATCATCTAACCCAGTGGAGTAAAGACTTTTTCTATGTTCCTTATATTTTTTGTAGATTTTTGTCTAGGTATACTACGGTGGCCGACAAGGGCAAACACGTTGCAAACGGCAAAACGCTTCAAACACGGGAATGATGCAAAACCAAAAACACACAAACACATAAAAACAAATGCAACAGAAAAACGCAGCAACAGAAAAATGCTGCAATCACAGAAACGAAGCAGAAGCACAAACTTACAAACCTTCAAAACAAATGCCAAAGAAAAATGCTGCAAATACCAAAAACACACAAAACCCCAAAACAACTGCGAGATACAAACGCTGCAGATTCGTTCCACAAAACGGAAGTGCACCAGGCCACTAGGGGGACCTGACCTGAGGGACCAGACCCGAAAGCCATGAAGAAGAAGAAGAAGAAAGTTGGCTAAGTTTAATATTATAATAATATAATAGAAGAATATTCTTCTATAATAGAAGAATTATTTTAGTATTCTTCTATAATATTATAATAATATAATTATATAATATTATAATATAATCATATAATATTATATTATAATTAATTATACTATTATAATATTATAATATTATAAAAGATTACGGCCGAGTGTTTAAAAAAGACATAAAAGAAAACGTACCTTTTTACTGTCCTCTCCAAAACTTCTTCTTCATGGCTTTCGGGTCTGGTCCCTCAGGTCAGGTCCCCCTAGTGGCCTGGCGCACGTCCGTTTTGTGGAACGAATCTGCAGCGTTTGTATCTCGCAGTTGTTTTGGGGTTTTGTGTGTTTTTGGTATTTGCAGTATTTTTCTTTGGCATTTTGTTTGTGGGTTTGTAAGTTTGTGCTTCTGCTTCGTTTCTGTGATTGCAGCATTTTTCTGTTGCTGCGTTTTTATGTGTTTGTGTGTTTTTGGTTTTGCATCATTCCCGTGTTTGAAGTGTTTTGCCGTTTGAGGCGTTTTGCCATTTGCGGCGCGTTTGCCCTTGTCGGCCACCGTAGTATACACCGTGGCAGACCACAGAGCCTTTAATTGGGTGACATATTGTCAAGATTAATGATTTTGCTTTGTCTTAATGTGTCCAGTCTGTTTTTGTTCTTGTCTGCAGTCTTTGTAGCAACCAACTTGGGGACAAAGGAACAATCGCTCTGGCAGAGGCTTTGACAGTCAACCACACTCTGCTGTCACTTCAGTCAGTACCTTCACATTATTGCCTTCTCTTCAAGTCTACTGCTAATGCATTTTAATATTGTGGGTCATTGACAGTATATGTAAGGGAATTATGCTTTGGTTTACAGACTCTGCAACAATGATGCAGCTTGTCAAGTATTTCACGACTGTTGAGTTTAACTTTTCTTTTTGCAGGCTTCAGAGTAACTCAATCAGCAACAGAGGGATGACAGCCTTAACCAAAGCACTTCGGCTGAACCGTGGCCTTGTCTCCTTAAAGTGAGTATTAAACTTGAGGCTTGTCTGTGTTTTACCAGGTAGTTTTCCTGTATCAACCAAAGACTAATGTCATTCAGGACTTGATCCTGCAACAAAGTATCTTGAGTGCTCTCTCCTGTTTTCTTGTTAGTCAACATTATTAGACTTAATTAGACTCATGTATTATTACAGCCAGTTCTTTAAAGGAATAGTTTGACAATTTGTCCACAAAAACGACATTATTATGTGTCTTACTGAGAGTTAGATGAGAGGATACTTACTCTTATCTGTATGGTAAATATAGAGAGCTCAAGTCTTGACGTCATGTACAAGCTAGCCTTTGTTCCCCTTTTTTAACTCAGCATTTCTGTCTTTCATTCTGAATAAACAACAATTCCATTTTATTTTAATGTTATTTTACCGTTATTTGCATTAAATTAAATTATTTGCATTTTTATGGATGTTAGTAAGGTTTTCTTAACTCTGGAACAGGACCCCAAAGTTCTGGTTTCACTTCAAGCTCAGCTTTAGTACTCTAGAAGTTCTGGGAGGGGGTTGTTACCATTGGACAGACCCAGGTTAGCTGTTTCCCCCTGTAATTAGTCTTAATGCTAAGCTTAGTGAACTGAAGCAGCTGCTAGATGTAGCTGTACATGTACAGTATTAATCTTTGCATCCTACTCTCTTAAAATGGGGTGACATATTTCCCAAAATGTCAAACTATTCCTTTAGGAAAAGTGCTACTAGATATATAGTAATATTGGGCCTCAACACTAGTCAAATATGAAATATGGACACAAGACATCCTCAGCTTTGAGATGATTGGTAATTTCTTTCTTTTTTTCTCTTTTGTGTATTTTTATATCTCGTTAGTTTAAGGGAGAACTCAATCGGTGTGGAGGGAGCAAAGAACATGGCCCACGCCCTCTATGAAAATAACTCTCTACAAGACCTCGAGTGAGTCACCTCATTAATGGCAATGCATAGTGTAATGCCCTATAAAGGCAACAAAATCTCACACTGTTCAGAAAATGTCACTGCCCCAGGTATGTCACTATAGGCTATTGTATGATGGAAAACTGCAAAACCCATGAGATTACTGTATAAATGAATGTTGTGGCTGCATGACAATTTCTCCTCTAATAACCTTTACCCAAATACATTTTGTAAAAGTGGAATTTTCAAACTTCAAAGCCACATGTTTTATCAGCTAGAAAGTAGACATATTGCGAAATCAGTGACAGACATAGAATTACATAAAACGTTTATAAGAAAGTTTTGGATCGTTTGTAATATATTTACTGTGTTTATTTGTATGTGTGTGCTTGTGTGTGTATCTCAGTCTCACAGCCAACCTGTTGCATGATGAAGGAGTTCACGCTATAGCTGGCGCAATCAAGATGAATCAAGGCCTCACCTCTTTGCAGTAAGTGAGGCTTGTATTGAAAATACAAGCACACAAATAGACTGACAGACATAGCCCGCAAGGATATTATGCATCACCAGCTTAACTCGCTTTGAACAATTTTGAGCACCACGTTTCAGAAACATTTGTAGTAAAACACAATATCACACTATAACATTAGTTATAACATTATTCATTGGAAGGCAGAAGAACTGCTAAGATGGATCAGAATTTCCCCTTGTTGTCCTGTTAAAAGCTAGTATAAATAATATTTTTATACTAACTATTGATAAATTACTATATATAATATGAAAGGGGATGAAACTCTGCAGTTTTTAAGTTCACACTCATTGCTCTCATCAGTACGGTAGCCCAGGCGTGTCAAATGGACATATCCAAAGCGCTTTATTCGAAATTTATTTTTGATTTATGCTAACATTACTGCATAGCTAGCTTCATAGCCGAACATAAAAATGAAAATATAATGACATGTGCAAGAACTTTCCTCTTCCACGTGTTGGCTTTTGAATTTGCGTTTTCGAATTTGCAAAGCATTTTGGATATGCAGTTTGTTCTACACGTCTGGGGCCACCGTACAACAGCACTGTTGTTATCTCCTTCAGTCTGTTTTCTAGCCTGGCATCACTAGATCAATTTGCAAATTAGTCTGGAACATCTCAGTTCATTTTCGATTTCCTAAGGGTTTTATCAACAGATGCGGACCAAAATGCCTCTGAATACAATGGGATAGAAATACAATCAATCAAAGCAACAAAATGTGTAACGTAGCGTAGTTGGTAAAAAAAACTTGTTGGGAAGTTTGGCAAATGCGTCTTTCTTATCAACAAAAGTTTTAAGTGTAGTTGTTTGTTTTATACTATCCAATTTGTTTAATACTGAAGCAATAGTGGATTCAACAGAAACCGTTCCACATCAATGATAGCCATCTTGGTTGTTTAAGAAAATGCCTCAGCTGCCAATAAGCTCACGCTCCACTGTACAGTCATCATATCAGACCCGCTCCATATTATATAAGTAGATCCAGAGAGGGAGGGTGGCCACACACATCTGCCAGAGCAAATTCCGTAAAAAAAAAAAAAAGCTCTAAAACCCCACTCTATGCTTCCTGTCTATGCTTATAAGGTGATAATATATCAATATATATATATATCAATAAACATAAAGTTGACTTTTTGTGCCTCTCTTTGTATTTTTACAGTCTCCAGTGGAATTTCATCAAGTCCTCTGCCACTAAAGCTCTTGCCCATGCACTCCTTTCCAATGCCACAATGCAGCTCTTGGAGTAAGGCCAGGCGTCTGCCATTGACTGCCTCTTTTCACTCACCTCTTTTCCACATACTCTGTTCTCTGTAATTGAATTGATCTCTCCTGAAATTTCAAAGCTGTATTCTGTTAAGGAAGTCTGGGTTGAGATTATTGTGGGTGAATGACTAGCTAAAGGATTTTATTGACTGATCGTGGTGTTATCAGTTGCTAAACAGTTATGATGAATTCCAGTCACAGGGCTGTATTGGCTGTATTTATAATTTTCACTGTGTTTGTGTCTCTGTCTTTTGCTGCAGTCTACAGGAGAATGCTATTGGGAATGAAGGCGTCATTTTTCTTGCTGAAGCCCTGCAAACCAACTCGTCTCTGCGTACATTATGGTTGGCATTACAATCACTGATCAATATTTATTTCTGTTAAAATAAAATTTTAAAAAACAGGTGACAGAAGTCAGTTTTTATACATCGAAGTACATGTACATTCACGTAAAAAAAAGTTGTGATTGACCAAAATCTTCATGTGTGTCAATTTGTTTATTTCTTTTATTTACCCGTGTGTTCACTGTTTTGTGTGCTGTCTTTTTAGTCTGCAGGGCGTCTCAGCGGGAACAAGTGGTGCTATTGCAATGGCAAAGGCTCTAATGACAAACCAAACCCTGCAAACATTAGAGTGAGTCCGAGCTCTGTCTTGTGACAAACTGTTCCTTTGTTATCTCACATTCAGCCACATGCTGTTTAACAATCCAGCTTTAAAACCAGCAGAGCTCAGTCTTGTTCCTCCTGTTTTCTACTTTGTGAGTTACTGCTGATTGTATTACAGGCCATCATTTGTCTCGAAGAAGACCATTCAGGATGGTTGGGTTGATGAGAAGCATTGTTACTACCCTTGAAGCTCATTTTCTTCTTTTACTCTTTCTGAAAAACATTTATGCTGTCAGATGTGATAGCTTTTGATTGGTCTCTGTTGGATTTGGAACTTGTTTGTCTGTTTAAGCCTGACAATGCAAGCACATAATTGACAGTTTACTTAAAATAGACATTGTTTTGTCAGATCATTTGTTTATTCCGTAGTAACTGTCCCTTTAGCATTTTTAGGTAGATACAATAGATTTTTTTGAAAGGATTTTGTCTTAATTAATCCCTTGTGAGTTCCAACTTCCAACATTTTTGATAAAAGTTCAAATATTCTATTCCTCCTTTTTCTTACAACCCAGTTAAGGACCACTATTGGTCCCTAGACCTCAGTTTGAAAACAAGGGCAATGTTGCAAATCCATTTACATTGATTTGAATTTTATTTTGGGGATTAACTAAATACACATACTAATTTTATCCATAAACACCTTGGTTGTATAGAAAGTGTATTATGATTTTAGCTTAACAAAGTATTTTCTCATAGAGGGTTTCTTTCAATCTTCATGTAAAGTTCAATGTAATTGAAATTAAAATGTAATCAGTCTGTAGGTAATTTCACAAACAATCAGGCAAAAGACTTCCAGATGACTTCCAACAGAACAACACAGTGACAAAACAACCCAATAACACAAAATAGATGAAAAGGCTTAAAATATGGACAGAAAACTTTGTATTGATGTTTCAGGTTTTCAAAAACAGTGACAAAAGAAAACGTCTGTGAGAAAACACATTGTAAACTTCAAGTATCAATTTCCCAGTCCATTGTGAATAACCAATATTTTTATTTTTTTATTTCTACTGTTTCAGTCTACGTGGGAACACTGTAGGGATGGAGGGGGCCAAGGCTCTGGCTAACGCACTGAAAGGCAACAGAAGCCTGAAATCATTAAAGTAAGTCCTGACTGGAGTTTATCATGAGCCATGTGAACCTATCTATTCTACCTACTTTACTGTGAAAAACACATTTTACAAAACCTTATTTTCTGAAATTAAATTTAATTAAATTAATGTATTTGATTTGTAACAGGCAATTAACATTACGCTGATCATAAGGCAGCACAGAGCTCATATGTACTACACTGAACAAACAGTTTTCAGCCAAATCCAGAAAAATAAAAGCTTTGTACTTAAATCACTGGACATATGATTAAATGTGTATCATCAGTCTGCAGGAGAACTCTCTGGGTATGGATGGAGCCATATTCATTGCAACTGCCTTGAAAGGCAACCATCAGTTGACATACATCAAGTAAGTTCCTTTTTTACCCTTCTCTCTCTCTTTACTGCACGATTCTATGTGTTTGTTTCACCGAAGGCTGTATCTCAAGGTACATGCTGCCATACATGAAAAAATAGTTTTCTGTTCATATATATAACTAGTTTGTTTTCTGCAGTTTGCAGGGAAATGGCATCGGCGAGTCTGGAGCAAAGGTCATATCTGATGCTATACGAGCCAATGCTCCAGGATGTGTGGTGGACATCTGACTCTCTACTAAGGAAGGTTATAGGTGTAGCACAGGAATAACTGGCAGGCTGTGTCATCAGAAATATGTGTAAACTATGTAATTTAGTAACTAGTAATTTTGTTAGTTCAGTAACTTAACTCTAGCTGTGTGTTGGTGCTTGGATATCACTCTATACCTGTTATAGATAAATATTTGCATATTTATAATTACATTATTATTAAAATACCAGTTGCCATCCAATGAATAAAAAATTACATGGCACCAGAATTGAATGTAAAATACAATACACACATTTTCACCCCTGATGTGATTAGAATTTCTGATGAAAACATTATTTCATGAGGACTGGTCTGACTTCATAACTTTGCTGTAATCTTTGGCTGCACAAATGACTGCAAAAAGATATTTGTGTGTTATAAATACAACCATATATTTTTTAATGATGGTTGTTGGCACTAGAAAGATCTATTTTCATTACTATCAAGAAATTAAAGTTATTTATTTTTCACTTTATAACACAGGGTTGCACAATGAATGTAAATTGTAGCCCCTGCATGCTACACGCACACATATATATATAACATATATAAACATATTTTGATTACATTTGTTTCCTTTTCAAACTTTTGGTTTATGTTAATTTTCCTTGCTAAATCATCTAATCATCAATTATGTGCAAGAGTGCCAAGAAGCAAACAAAAGTAGATAAAACATTTTTTTGTAATAATAAAAAAAAAAAAACTTATATAGCAAGATTAAATTAGCTCTGTGACATGTTTGTTCAGTGTGAATCCTTCTATTAATCTGGTCCTCCTGACAAGCCCCTGAATGTGTGGCACTTATACATTACACCTAAAGCTGCATGCTCATTTTCACTATTCAGTTAACATAAAGGAAACGCACTGACACCACTTGCATGTTGCTGAGGTAACATAATTAAGTGGCTTAAGAAGTAGTTAAAGCTTCGACTGGTATCCATGGCAACAAAGCATCATTGAGTCACGCAGCAAAAGTGATGGCTTGAACAGTTTCTTATGGCCCTTGTGATCACTCTGTTCTCTTATTACTTGGGCTTCAACTGGTGGTTGAGAAAACCTAGAGACAAAGAATTCATAGCAGAGTAGATGCCATATTATTTAGCTGGATAACTGCCTAAATGGAGGGAGACCTAACTTAACAGCCCTTACTGGGTAGAAATTACTTTTTCTTCCAAATATAATACACTTTGGTTCACCATAGAGAAAGAAATGTCTTTGTTCTGTAGCCCCAGGCTGGAAGAGACACTTGACCACAGATACACACAAAAATAGTGTTTGAAAAATGTTTTGACTAGTCCCCTTCCAAAAGTTGAAAAAACAAAGTTAACAAAGCCCTTACCTCCACACATTTTGGCGACAGTCCTAATTGGTGGCACCAATCGAGCAAACTAATCAAAGACAGCCAAATGTTTTGTAACACCCCTTTTCCCAATGTTCATTTTGCTCCCTAATTTGTTGGTAACTCTGCCTCTTGGCAATGAGTTTGATAATCAGCCACTTAATATGCAGACTGCTTTAGATGTCTGTGCTGCATTACGCTGCTCAGTGTGACTTGTAAAGCTCTGTGAGGCGTTTTAAAGCAAGGTGTTTAGCACTTATAATGTTTAACATATTAGCTGTCTTAGTTTAGCATTTTACATACTAGCATTTACTAATTAGCACCAAACACAAAGTATAGTTGAGACTGATGGGGCTATGTATTTTGTATTGTATGTGGTTCCTAAACCAAAGTACTGGGCAAATTAAAAACATGACCTGATGATACATGAAAAGTTAAGAAATCACCAATGTCATTACAATTCATCCTGAATTGTAACATTTCACTGACAACCAAAATGTCAACCATATGATGGCACTGGAGGAGAAGTAAGTAGATCCGCAAAAGGGCATTAATGTGCAAATCCATCCTTGCAGTTATTCATTAGCCATTAGTGTGGCTAAAAAAGGCTGAACATATGAATGGTTTTAAGAATTATTTTTGGACCTGTGCAGTTTTCTTCCTTTTCATGTAACCAGTTAATTTAGGTACTTAATCATTTTACACATAAGGTGTGAAGGAGGTAGAAATAACATGACACTCATCAGCAATTATGGAGCAAAAACCTTGCAAAAGCTTCACTAGTGCACTTAATCTGTTAAGAGGAGGGTGTTGCATGGTCAGGAAGCAAAATATAGGGCGCATAGTAGGAAAGGATGGCTAACAAAAAGTTGACTCTAGACTGATTGTGAATGCTGATTGACCATTCGCTGGACCTTCTAATTGAACCAGGAATTTAGACCATCTGTGCCTTGAGACTGGTTTAATTAATGACAGAAAGTGACACAGAGGGATGCAAATAAGAAAATGATGATGATGAAGTTGAAAATTGATAAGTTTCTGTTTTTCAGTGTGTTTCATTTGTACGAGACAGTGCTTCATTACAGCACACAGGAGGTGATGGATGATAACGTAAAGAGCAAAATTTGAAATATCACAAACCGCCGGAGGTCCATCCAGAGACAGCTGGACTCATTAGAGTCCTTTTTTTTTTCCATCTCTCGTCCCTTCTGCAATAAGTTTACTGTAACTTTAAATTAATCTGAATATAAAGTTATTGAAATGCAAACAGTTATGTCTTGTTTCTATTTGAATGGAAATGGGGTGTGATTGCTTGTGTATGGAAAAAACTTTTGGTAAGTCATCCAAATTAAGAAGGATGATGTTGCAAAATGGTTTCGGGCACTGTGTTTGGTCACATTTCTACTTCAAACTGAGAATACAAATAGCAGCGGTGCCTGCACTGACAATAATTGCACAAAACATTTTCTTTGGCTTCCCTGTAATCTGCACTTTTCACCACCAATATGTGGGTTTTTGGCAGGCTGTGAGAGTGCAATTATGAGTCTCTTGTTTTTTAAACTATTTTTCAAATAATATGAAAAAAGCAAAGTAAAATCCGTCCAGACAAGAACAAAAACACCTAGTTTCTTTTGAATCCCATAGTCCAGGTCCATGCACCATTGATCGTCTCACCTTTGACCAAGCTGTCAAGGAGTGTGACAATAAATAACCACTCTCTGCTGGAAGTTCATGAGTGGCCACCAAATGTTCAGAAATTACTCAAACCCGAATTGGCTCGGGGCCACTGCTATGCACTGTATTGTCATCTAGGGCCACTTCAGTGTTCAAGTACTAAAAAAATTTAGTTTAGTTTACTTCTTTTTATTCTTCTTCTATTAATAATAACAACAAGGTTTGAGCCTTAGCTTCCCTGTTTGAGCATGATGTTGAATATTTGTGCTGCATCTTCCCTGTTCGCAATTTTAAAATAGTGAGTGTGGCGCAGAAATGTTTGTACTTGTATGAAACTGAAAAATTATTTTATGCCTTTAACTAATGAGTCAAAAATTCTATCATAGCTTGCTGTGTTAAATCCCATACTATACAGATTGCAGGAATTCGATTGTAGAATCCATGATGATGATGTAAACATTAAAAAGAATGTGGGAATGTTGGGAAACCAAACAAAGAAGGCCATGAGTCATTTTAAAAGACTTATATCTTGAAACCTGTAGGGTGCCAATATCCTCATCATTTGTAAAGTCTTAAATTTGGGATGAAACTAAAATGTATTATCAAAAGGAAGTTAGTATTGGTCTCGTGGCCTTTATCAGCAGAAGGAGTTTGCTTTGTTGTCATAGAAATGGTTAATTGTTACTGCCAACTCAACCTTACAGGGGCCATCAGATGCAACAGCAAGAAACCTGAACAAAGGACTGAATGAACACTGGAAATGTCTTTGAACACCACAACAAAAACATCACAGCATCCACCAGGAAAGGGTCAAAGCTCATTGACTAAAAGATACGGTCTCTGTCAGACCTCACCCAGTGACACATGTCACTGAAGGGGGATAGCTAGCAGAGTGTGCATCCATTTTGTTGCTTTGTTTTGTTTGGTAGGCTGTGAAACTGTGCAGAAAAAAGGTTATAGCATGATGCTTTTCTGTCAAGTGAAATCTAAAAAAGGCTTTTTATATGTTTGGCTTAGCACTCCGATGTCAGCTTAGTAACACCTAAAACATAGCTTTGTTCCCCTGGCTGCATTGCTTGTGTACAGGTCATACAGGCTGCGAATGGGTACGACTTTGAATCATCCATACAAATCAAACCGTTCAAACAAACACCCGCTTCGTCCTTGAAGGGATTTTGGAGTCTAAACTGGGATTCAGAGGCTAGATGTGTAAACAATCTGCATGCATATAAGTCATGCATACAACATTTCCAACGCATTGACTCCGACTGGTGGAGCATATGGCAGCCGTGATACAGATAGACGATTAGAGACATGTGCAGATCCATTCAGGGCTGTGGGAGTGAAAATCAGGCTTACTCACATAGGCAACACACAATTTCACATTGATTGAGATTTAAAAGACCATGCGTACGCTCTGCTTGATAAATCTGAGGCGGGAAATATCTGACTGAGGGTTCTTATGCAGCCTTTGTTCATCAACCCCAGAGTACCACTGCAGTAATCAGTTGTAAGATTTTCCCATCTTGCCACGATTCAAAACAAAGTGTTTGTGTTTTGTTGCTTTTGTCATTTCTACTGTTTTTTTCTTTTGCATATTCATCGCCAGATGCATGAAACACCTTCAGAATTTCTTCAAGTGCATTGACTATTCCATAATTGGCAGCCTGAATTCCCAATGAGATTTTTTTGACAGCTTGCTGCCTAAAAGACCAACTAGATACACCGCCTAATGATATACTATATTGAGCTAGGTATGCCAGTTAGTTCATTAACTCATTCCTCATATTACATTTTTTACATATAATTTCTTCCTCTACTCTCAACAAGGTAAATGTCCTCATATTCGTTTTAAAAAGAGATCTTTTTGAAAGACATTTTTGAAAAGAAAGTGATGATCACAGATCTCTCCATGAATAATTATATCATACAAAGGAACTGCTTTTATAAAAGAAAGGGAAAAGGAAATTAAACTCCTCAGCTACTGTATAATTCAAACCACAGGGAAGCCCAAACATCTTATAACATCAGCCTATGTGCTGGTCACAACAGAACTAAAAATACTGCAGTAGAATGACAGCTGTGACAGCAAAGAGGGATGAGTGGGTGTGATAATTATTTTGCTATCAGTGTAAAACACCAGCAGCTGTAGGAACACAGAAAGGTGATAACTGCAAGAACTTGAGTATAATTACGTTATATTTGTGCATAAGTCAATGTGGGCTGGCCTAGGCACACTGATGCATGACATGAACAAAATGTAGGAGTCAATCACATATATCCAACCTGAAACTACCTCTCATTTGACATCCTCACTCAAATTAGGCTCAATTAAAAATAATCATAGACTTAATTAGTTGTATTTTTCCTGCTGAGCTTTCAGGAAGGCAGACGTCCCTAAATTCATATACAGCACACCTGCCTGAGACCGTTTTTTAGAAATAGACTGTGATGGTGGTAATTATAGCTTCTTTCTTTGCTCATGGTTTTACTGACAGTTGAAGAGATAATGTGTGACTTCATACAGCTGAATATCCTTTTACAGGAGATGCTCTATAATTAGAATCTAAAGCAGCTCTGTGAGGACTTTTGCAAGTACCTGCACCAATCATAGCTTTTGTTAAATTTGTGTGTACCCCCAAAAATTTTAAGGTTAAAATCGTATAATATACTATAAGCAAAAGAACACACACCAGCATGTTGGACATCAACAATCCCCAC